GTCAAATATAAAAGGTATGACAAGAAGTCAAATGCAAAAAGCAAAAATAATAGTGATCTCACATTTCACAAATGTTTAGAGTATACTCTGGTAAAGCATAATTAACTTGAATGAATTTGTAATTAAAAATAGATTAGATGTGCATACAAATAACTATGACATGAAGCAGAAGAGTGTAAATTCCATAATAAAAAAAAGTGAAAAACTGGCCTGAAGTTAGAGGACAGGTGATGCCCTTGTAACATAGAGGGGTCTAAACTTGTTCATATAAGAAGAGGAAATTTATTAGACAAGACACACACACAGGGAAGATGGTGTGAAGACATGGGGAGTTGATGGTCATCAATCTGTCAAGGAGAGAGGACTGACACAGATCCTAACCTCACAGCCATCAGAAGGAACCAAGCCTTCTGACACTTTGATCTCCAACTTCCAGCCTCCATCATTGTGAGAAAATAAATTTCTGTTGTTTAAGCCCCCCCAGACTGCGGTACTTTGTTATGGCAGTCCTCGCCAACTAATGACACTCATGTAGGTTTCCTAGAATATCATTTTGAGCAGGTAGCACTTTGCTGAGAATTTTTTATCTTGCTCCGCATGAAATCCAAACCCTTCAATATTCTGCACAGTTTTTCATTACTTTTACTCAATTTTACATCTTGTTTAATAATAATGTCCTGACATTCCTAGCAATAAATATTTACTTCATATAATAGTTACTAATTTGACTATTCTATTTTTTTTATCTATTAAGACTTTTATAATAGCTGACACCGTTCTAAGAGCTCTACATGTGCTACCTCATTTAATCCTCACAACAACTCTACAGAGAAGGCAGTAAGATTATCATTCCCATTTTATAGATGAGGAAACTAAGGCACAGATAATAAATGGCTGAGGCACTATTGGATTCTAGGTGCAGCAATTTTATATTCCATGCTCTTAGCTGCTATAATAATTGTAGTAGTAGTAGGAATAATTAAACTCTTTAAACTTTACTATGTGCCTACGCATTTTATATACATAAGTAGTTTAATTCTTAAAATCACTGTTGGATACACAGTATATTATTTTCAATTTCCAGACAGAAATTAGAGGTATATAGATGTTAAAGGATTTCCCTAAGGCTACCGTGGTAGTATGCTGTGGAACAGACTCCACCCCAGGCACCTGACAACAAAGCCTCTGTTCTTCTTGACCCACATCCTGCCTCCCAGAAAGCAAGTCTCTCTCATTTTGTCTTTTCGAATCCACTGGTTCTTCTAAACTCAATTCAAAATCCTCTATTAAGCCTTCTCTAACCTCTCTGGCCAATAGTACTTTCTCACTTTAAGAATGTCTAAAGCAGAATATATTTTGCCTAGGATAATGGATAGATGGGAATATTTAAAGATATGTTGCTGAGTATTAATATTATTTCTCTGGTTGATGCTTTATCTCTGTATTTCAATCACATGCTTTTGAGGGGAGGGACCCAACATAAGAAAGCTTTCTTAGCATTGGGGATACATTCTCAATTTTGACTTTAATTGAACTGTCTTTAATTTCCTGTTTGATGCTTTAGGGCATTGATATTAGTTTGTCACCTATTCTGTCACTGAAAGTTCATTGACAGGTCCCCAAAGGCATTTCAAACTTACTAGAGTCTTTATTGTTAGACATTAGAATTTAAATTAATTCTTTAAAGAAATTGATTTGATAGCATATTTTTTCCAGAGGGCACCAATTTTTGCCCTTAGAAACTACAGCTAACGCTCACTGATATTCGTGTTTTCTCTTTTGTAAAATGCCAATCTGCAATATCACATTTTCTTTATTTTATGAAGCTATGATGTCAGTACAGGACAAGTTGATTAGAGTTTTAGTTCAATTTGATTTGAAAAGGGACAGAAATACCTAGTGGCAATCTATTTATTTTAAAGCAATCCATTTAAAATGCTTATCAGTATTCATCTTTGATAAATTACCACATTAATATATTTTTCTTTATATAGTTCTCAGCAGAATTCAATCATATTACAAATTATGAAATAAGAAAGGAAAATCATCCAAGCTATAACATTAATTTCCTCTTCTGAACTTGCCAAATCATTAATACTGGCAAACAGCTATTAATAAAAGAGCAAGATATATAGCTTAGTAAGTCTTTATTCAGATTATATCGATATTAACATACTATATTCTAAACTTTACTGAACTTTTTCATTTGTGATTTGAGTTTGGAACTTTTGTTATTTCCAGGAAGCAACCTAATTATAAAAAGTAATATCAATTAATGAATATTTATACATGCACGTATATATTTTATGTACATATATGTATACATAATATAATCTGCCAATATGCTCCTAAAAAATATTAAATCATGATTCTAGTTATGCTTGCCAGTGAATTATAGATAATTTTTATTACTGTTTCACTAAAATAACACTAATCAATAGTTAACTTTTGTGACTTGAGCCCTAAATGTATAGCACTATATAAAATGAATAGAATTGATCAGTCTGTTGTCTTTCTATGATAACAGGGGGCTGGCATCATGCTCAAGTACATCATGGCTGGCTGCCCCTGTTTCTAGGTAATCTCTGACCATTGACATTAACTACTACACAGAAACTCTGCTGCATGGCTGCCTTGGAGTAGTCCCAGGGGCCCCCATTCTCTACCATGTAAATCAGGCCTGCCAAGCTCCCCAACTCAAGTATCTTATTGGGGTTGTACCTATAGCCTGTGGCTTGCTTGTCTCTTTGCAGTAATCCCTTAGAGCTGTCTTATTGATGCTGGCAGCCACATGACTGTTCTACCTCCAAGCTTAGATTTAATCCTCATGATAAATCTTTTAAAGTGCTTTTCCCCAGTGTTTTATTTGAAACATTTCCTTTTGATTTAAGCTCAATATAATAAAGATATATCACTTAAGAAACTTAAGTAAAATTAACACAATTATAATATATTGAATAGATTTTAAATGATCATTTGTCTTGATTATCCTTACAAAAACTTTATATCCCAAAATTTATCTTTCTACCTATTGCTTATTTATACCTTTCAGAGTAACAAAGATACTCTAGGATTCACAGTTCCAAAGAATGATTGCTGCTAAAAAATAAAACGCGATATTTCTTTCAAAGCATCTCTGGTTTGTATTTAGTAGTCCAATTTTCAGATTTAGCCATTTCTCAAGACTGTCACATCTTACTCCCGCGTGCGCGCACACACACACACAGACACACACACACACCAGAAAGAAAAGATGGAATTAAATCTCATGTGTGATTTACCATTGCACTTAAGAATAGATTCTTATATTACATGTTGTAATGGTTACAAACTGTAAAGTCTCTTCACATTATTTCTCCAAGTAGCTGACCATGGCAATTTGTCTTTCTATACAAACCACTTCATTGTTTATTTATTCCAATGAAAGAAACAAGTCATTGAAATTTTCAATGCTTGGAGACTTTTGAGAGATAAAAACTTGTGCATACTCCACATTGGGATGACCCAACCTCCAAGAAGTTGCTGCAGAAACTCCTTTTCTTTTATTGCTAAGACTCAAAAAGGAATTTATATTTATTTATCTACAGAATAGATACATGAATACATAATTACATAGAAATCCATAAATCTATTTAGTGTGCTATTTAAGTTGTCTTAGGTCCACAAAGCTTGTTGAGCACGCCAAACTTTAGCTTTTTCAGAAGCATCAGTACCTTCCTGCATCTTGAACTATTTTTTTCATGCTCTCATGTAAAAACAAAGTATTTCAATAGCGATTCTTTCTTAGTATAGTGCTAAAATAAAAGGCAGTATTCTACAGTAGATAGCACATAGGTATAAGAACTAAAAGACCTAGGTTCTGCTTCTGGCTCTCCTCTATCTATCAGCTATATGACTTTCTATGTTTACTCATTAATAAAACCGGGATAATAGTATTTGCCTACTTGTATTAAATGGTTGGGATGCAGAGTAAATCCAAGTCTCTACAGTGGCTTCCCAAGCTCCATTCGAACTTGCCGTATGTCTAACTCTCTGACCTTATCCCCAGCTCGACTTCCTCTCTGGCTCTGTTGCAGCCACACTGTCTTCCAATTATTGTTCTTTGACTATTCAGCTTAAGGTCTCTGCACTGACCATTCTTTCTCCATAGAATTATCTGTCCCTGACAGTTTCAGGCTCACTTTCTCTTTTCCTCACATTCTTTAGGTTACTAGTCAAATGTCACCTCAATCAATGAAATATAGTGTTCCCAACTTTCTCTGTGTGTTTATTCTTTTACCTCTTGATCAGCTTATTATCTGTTTCCTTTCTGATAAAAGGCAATCTCAAGGAATATAGGAAATTTTGTTACCCTTTCCTTAGGAATAATATTCTGACAAAAAATTAAATTTTTTCTGAATCACTCCACATAAAAATTTAGCAATCTGTTTAGTTGGAAAGTTTGTCTTGCTGCTTTTTACTAATTAATGTGAAAGGATGCAAATATTATTTTATTTTTTATGATGTTAACTATATCTTCAGATACATATATCTCATAATTTATCATAGTATGGAAAATTATGATTTTAATACCTCTATAGTTTGCCTCTCTTAATTGCTAAAACATTCAAAACATGAAATAATTTTGCATATTTCTCTGAAAGACAGTTTATGCACTCCCTTTGGAAGTAAAATTATTTCTTCATTAAAAGCAACATATTATATTTTAAGACTTTAATATGACACAAGCTCAGCCTAGAGCACAGTGTTATTTGCTCTGATAAAACACTTTTCAAATTGGTCCTAGGGTTTTGTTAGACATGTTTGTTTGTCTCCCCTACTGCCACACAGTATGGCGGAAAGCAGAAACCATTTCTTATCCATTTTATGATTTTTCTAATACTTTATACATAGCAGGCACTTCATAACTATCCGGTTAAATTACTGAATACAGGCATTTGTGCAATGATAGTGAACCACACCCTTCTTTAAAGAGAAATAAAATGAAGGGCATTACTTACATTTAGAGCCTGTTGACCCACCGGCAGCAGATCTCGATCCACCTTTCATGGAAAAGACTCCTTTCCCTCTGCGAGTTGTTGTGACTGCCACTCTGGGGCGCTTCAGTGGAATTACTGCACGGGGAGGTGGAGGCACACGCCCGTGGTAATCAAATAACCTTTACAAAACACAAATGGGACTGAGAGTTGGTTCGATGCCCAAGAGTTCTATCAAATATGTGAAATGGTTAACAGAATGGCCTGGTAGAAATTTCAATAAACGTTTTCTTTTTGCTGTTGTGCTCTAATATTCAGATGTAGGTATTTATTGGCAGATGTAATTTTCAGTAAGAAAATAGGATGCTAATATAGTTAGTCGATGCTTCTTGGCTTTAGAGTGTGACCTCTCAGAGGAACTTATTTGTAAGGTATGAAAGGACCAGGAGCTTTGCTCCAAAAGTACCATGCAGTTTGTTGAAATTATGCTGACCTTCATTCCTAAATATATTTCTTTGCTTGGTAATACAGATTTATCCTTCTTATGGACAGAAATATTCCTCTTACACATCAAACACTTATTGGCACATTCGTTTAAAAGAGGAAAAGATCTTGCAGAACAGGAACAAAAAAATGAAATTACTGTTCAATCAGTAAACAGCCCAGAAAGAAAAAAAAAAGTAAAACCAGCTTAAAGCAAACAGCTATGAGAGACAGATCAATATGGTGCTTCAGCTCACTCTAAGAATCTTTTCAGTAACAAAAGGCTCCTCTGATTGCAGATAAAAGGAGACAGTTTGAATGACATGGAGCTAGCATGAAGACAAAACTTTGTTAACTACTTACTGTGGGAAATGTTTATCAAGATATCTTTTAATTATTCTGACCATTTGCTAGATGTGCAAATTGAGACTAGAGAGATATTTTTATAGTTAGATATTACGAATGCATTTAACAACAAATCAATAAAAATTAATACTTTTGCTACAAAGTGAAAAATGATATTTGCCCCAATCAATGAATTTCCATTAAACAATAAAAGGAATCAAACTGTAAGGGTTAACTCATTTATAAAAATATGGAATTCATAGATTCAAATGCTTAATATTATTTATACTGCATTCACATATAGGACAAATTTTTAAATGACGGCACATTTGAAGGTCAATGAAAAAATACTGGGGATACATTTACTCATTTTCGTGACTATTTTCCAGTGAGCCAGACATGTAATTACATTATTCACTATAAAGAAAGTAGCATTATTGACTTAGAATTATGATTGCTACCTATTTTATTGTGACAGAGTGAAATATTGGATTACATTCTTATAAAAACTGTCAATAAATACAATCTAATATGAAAGTCAGAAATGAAAAACTAGAATGGGAAGAAAACTAAACAACTTATATAATAGGTTAATTCATAAAATTACATCTCGTTTATACATACAGATGAAAATGTTTCATTCCTTTTTAGGAAACAATATATGAAATATAATAAATGTTAAGATAGACTGGCTTTAAAACATTCATCTAGAGACATTAAAACTTATATTATGGAGTGGGAAAAGCACAAAAAGCACTATTAAACAAAATTTAAAGCAAAATTCCTTAGTACTAGGAATATCTCCTACATTAGAGATTTACAGTGTTCAAAAATGATTTAGAACATGCTGGGGAAAAACTGAGCGATATCTGAAAAGGAAAAGAAATGAAATGAGACAGAGTTCAAGAGAGGTGCCATCTTCTGTGAATAAGCAAAGTCCATTAGAGCTGAAGAACGGCTAGCAAAGAACAGGTCATGGATGTCAACACATTATAGTTTACTTCAAAAAGCACAGGCAGGATGAGGCTGAAAAGGTTATGAATATCATCCGTACCACTAGGGGCTTGAGAATCAAAAGGGTCAGCTAGACCTGCCCCTCATTTCAATCACAAAACAAGGTCTACATTAGTTATTTATAAGTTGAAGTCACAGAGCACCTTAAGTCAGTGAACCAAAATACAAAGGCACTTTGCATGAGCTATAACACCCAAAACTGTGAGTGCAAAGAAAATATGCCAATTGACTGATCTCCTCTAGAGTAGAAGTTGCTGCTTGAAATGAAAGGCAAACTCTTTTAGAAGGATCATGTCCCTAGGCCACCAATGTGCAGTTTTACAGGTTCATTAAATGAGCCAATCTATAAATCGGGTTAAGAAAAACTCTTAAAAAAATTAAAACATATAATGATATAAGAGTGCTATAGTGAAAATACAGGCCAAGTAAAGTTAACTATATTCATTGCTACTTTAATTATAATGTAATTTACTACTATTTTGTAGGGAACAAAAGTGTTTATCAATATTTCTATTGCTTTCCCTATCCAAGGATTACCAAGCCCCCAACGGTGGCATGGCCTGATCTTATGCTGAGAAAGAGCCACACTTGCTTACTGTATTTGTGATCTGCTTTTAGTATGGGGCATATATTTTAGTAATATACTTAATACATTACTAAACAACTTTCCTTTGGTATAAATTCCTACGGTGAGTGTCCTCTGTTCTCTGCATATTTTGGTGAGTTGCTTCAAAGGAAAATGACTATTTTTCTTTTCTCTTGCTTTTTTTTTTTTTTTAATTTTCTTTTTTTGAGACAGTATCACTCTGTCACCCAGGCTGGAGTGCAGTGGTGCAATGTCACTGCAACCTCTGCCTCCCAGGCTCAAGCAATTCTTTCACCTCACCACACCCAACTACATATTTTTGTATTTTTTGTAGAGATAGCATTTTGCTATATTGCCCAGGCTGGTCTCAAACTCCTGGACTGAAGTGATCTGCCCAACTTGGCCTCCTAAAGTGCGGGGATTATAGGCGTGAACCACCACGCCTGGCTGGATGACTTTCACCATAATGTGACAGGTCATTTATAAAACAAAACTGGGAATGGGTGAGGCAGGAGAATAGAGTTTGGAGGTAGGGAACCTAAGGCTGATTTATGCCAACTTCCTAGAACTAACTAAAATGGAAAACCCCCAACTTGCCATGCCCAAGTAACAAAAGGATGAGAAGCTACTTTCTTTGTACACCTTTTACCCCACCACCTTTTTCTGCATTTGGCAGATGAAAGATTGAAAGTACCTCTGATTGGTCCCCTTCCACAACCGCAACCAGTCAAGCTGGTCGTGGGCAAAGTCTTCATTTGCATAGGGTGTAACTTTGTAACTTCACTTCAGCCTCTGATTGGTCCCCTCCTGCAACCAATCAGACTAACTGTGGACCACTACCTAATATACATAGCATGTATACCAAGTAATCAGTGGGACACCCCTAGAGGGTATTTAAACCCCAGAAAATTCTGCAACCAGGCTCTTGAGCCCTTATGCTCAGTCGGCTCCCACCCTGTGGAGTGTACTTTCATTTTCAACAAACCTCTGCTTTTGTTACTTCATTCTTTCCTTGCTTTGTTTGTGCGTTTTGTCCAGTTATTTGTTCAAGAACTTGGACACCCTCCACCAGTAACATGGGCTAACATGAGGGCATAATTTTTAATTTTACAACTTTTAATGCAGTTAAAGACTTAATTTTCACTGGGCACTCGTGAGTTAATTAGAAATAAAAGGAAGGAAGACTGGATGTTGTCCTAATGTGCAAAAACGTAACAAGACAAGGATAGAAAGGGGGAAAGGTTTCCTGGGATCGCAAGATAGAATATAGGGGTTCTTCAAAATGCAGAGGGAAGTAGGTAAAAGGCAGCCCAAGAAAGACAAGTGTTGGCTGTCTCATCAGAATTCTGTCTATAGCAAATCAAAGAAGTTTTGCCTTTACTAAATGTTAGGTTGGCAAATAGTTTTGAGACTAAGGAACTAGTTCTTTTAAGATTATGGACTGACAACAGAAATGGCAATCCAGCAGAATTAAACGGAATCTAAATCTCCAGGCCAGTTGAAAGCTTTAATTTTTTTCCTTCCTGTTTTTCTTGTTCCTTACCCTTTTGGAGTCATATTTCCTTTCTTTTCATTTAATAATTGTTAATTTTTCCTAATATTTCTTGGTCAGGATAAGTTTCTCTCAAATACTTACTTGTCAAATAGATAATAGTTTATAATGAAGCCAAACATAATAATTCTTTCCTCAAAGTCCATTTCACAGTTAAAACTCTAAAAGACCTATTGTCAAGTAGTAAATTTAAAAAATTCTGTCTAATCGTAATAAAACCAATGCATGAAGGAAATTTGGGAATTTAATTTGTTTTATTTAATAAATGTTTCTACTTTACAGGTACCCTTTTCTTACTTGGACTTTTTTTTTTTTTTTTAATTTTTTATTGGATTATAGGTTTTGGGGTACATGAGCAGAGCATGCAAGACAGTTGCGTAGGTACACACATGGCAGTGTGCTTTCTTTTCTTCTCCCCTTCACCCACATTTGCCTTTTCTCCCCAGGCTATCCCTCCCCACCTCCCCCTCCCACTGGCCCTCCCCTTTTCTCCCCAATAGACCCCAGTGTTTAGTACTCCCCTTTCTGTGTCCATGTGTTCTTATTTTTCATCACCCACCTATGAGTGAGAATATGCGGTGTTTCATTTTCTGTTCTTGTGTCAGTTTGCTGAGGATGATGCTTTCCAGTGGACTTTTTGTGCTTTAAATAATATCTGACATGTATAATTTTATTACCTAGCCAAAGCTAAAAACTGGTAATATTAATTTTAATATTAGTTTACTTAATAAAATCAACATAACTTGTCTCTAGGAAGAATAAGGAAATTTGATTTCATCTATTGTTCTTAAAAAATAATTACTTTTGGACAAAGGCAATTTAAAAACTGACTGCCTTTTGGACAAAGGCCTATTAAAACAGCAAATAAACATAATTTTAAGTGTGTTTAAAAAAAGAGCTTGTTATTACGCTTTAATAATAAGTAACATTTTGGAAGAAAGTGCATTAAAAAAAATTATAACTCACTCTCCAACCCTAGAACAGTTACTATAATCCTTTAATCTTTTTTCTGTAAGCATCCACATTTTTCACATAATTGAAAACATAATATATGTACAGTCATGTATTCCAGCTCTTTCTTTTTGGTTTATATTAAAAACATTTCTCAGGCCTATTAAATGGTCTTCTTAATGTTTAACTGCTGTAGTGCATTTTCTCAGGTAGATATACCACATTCTAATAAATCATTACCTGATGGCTAA